GCACTAGATATGTCCTTTATCTGTGTATGTAAAATCATAGTTACAGTGAAATGTTTGTTGTGTTTACTACACTCCAAAAAATAATATATTACTCCAGCAACTGAAGCCTCTTTTCTTTAAGAGCTGAACAGGTATAACAACTAATGACCAAAAAAAAAAACAACAACAACAACCCCACAACTTACCAATGTTTAAAAGGAAATGCAAAATCTCATAAAATGTAAGAAATTGATTGGAGGTGGGTGAGCTGATTATCCTCAACACTTCCCAACTCCAAAATTAAGCCTGGCATATATCTAGAAAGTACATAATCAGAAGCTCATCCATCAGACCCCTACATCCTGGTCTCAGATGTTGTGCTTATTTGAAACAACTAAAGAGGCATTATTTCTAGATGCATTTCATGCCAGAAGACAAATGTTTAGAAAAGAATAATAATAATAAAATCTAGTTAATTTTGATTCAATTTTTTTAAAAATATTTAATTAAAACATTCATTGACAGATTTAATTTACTTCTAATTAATTTCAGTAATAAATATCTCATTATTACCTACGTGGTACAGAATGTTATTTGCAACAGACTTCATTCCACGTTCTTAAAACAAGAAATGACCCATGTAAAACTAGTATTTATGTCCATATTACTCTAGTAGTACTAAGTTTGCATGATAAAGTTTCCTTTTTAAGGCATATTTGTCCATGTGATAAAGGGTTGTGGTCCATATTCTTTCCTAAATTACATTATCTTTGAATTGTTCACTTGTAATAATAAAATAAAATTTAAATAAATAATTTAAAAAATCCGGCAACACTGCAAAGTGAAAATCTGTGGAAAAAAATAGGAAAAGCACTACTGAAGAATTTTCAAATGACCTGAATAATATTGCAGTCTCCATAGCAACTTTCTGGTGGCATGGTCAGAACACAGCTGCTTTTTTCTATCCCAGAGCAGCTAGGCAAACTCCCATAACCAGTTACATCTTGTGAGTAAGGTTTTTTGGTAACCTCAGGCTCAGCTCTCCCAGCTTCACTCCCTCCTCTTCTTCACTTTCTAAGTTATTGTCTGTGTGTGTGTAGCTTATAGCATAAAGCTGAGGTCCTGCTGTTTAGTTAACATCTGCTCCTGATTCCCAGAAGAGAGTGAGAGCTCTCCTGGAGGGAGGTTTGCAGTAATTCAGTAATAACAGAAACCCATACTGTGGCAACAGGTGTACATTTGAATAGATCTGAGAGGGAAACCAAAAGGAACGATGTCTTCTATAGACTCTTACAAATAAAAAGGACAGGAAAAACAAATATCTATTGCTGCTTGTTTTATTTCAGGTAAAGGGGAATTAAACACTGAACCTAAAAATCTGAAAGGAAAATCTTCATGTGGTTACTACATCTAAACAATAACGTATCTATATATTTCATCTAATGTTAGATTAAGCTACTTTGCTCTGCTTTAAGAAATGAGTGATGACTGTTAGAGTCAAAATTTCCAAAATTTCATTTCCAGTAGAATCAAACTTCTTTCACTACAGAGAAAATAAGCAAGTAAATGAACTGCTTGGTATTACTCAGTACAGAAAGCTGCTACTTCCAGCAAAAGAATCCCATACTGGTTTTGAAGACTCAATCCGGTTGGAGTTGATGTGTTCTTTTAACTTTTTTTTTTTTTGAGTTGGTGAGAAACACCACCCTTCCACGCGTTTACAGTATTTGAGCACTGTGAGAGCATTTCCATTGTTTCCATGTTAAATCCATACAATTCTAGGAGCATTCTCATGTTGCGCTCATTTGTATTCATATGGAATGCACATAAAGAAAGATGCATGCCCTGTCTATAGGGACTGACCAAGAAACAGCCAACAGCACCAGCTGTATTTTGGTATTTGTAATTCATTTGTACTTTTTATTGTAATGACACAGACACCAAACTATCCAGTGTGAAGCATTTATTTTTATAAAAGGTGTAAAAGTAAATCCACAGGTGACCTGAAAATAAGTGATGGAGAACCATTCTAGGAAGCTTTTTAAGGAGATGCCTACCCTTACAGTTATGTCAACAGTGGTATAGGAAACTCAGACTTAACACTGTTAAAGACTGAAGTGCTTAACCCAGAAGTATTAATTTGTCCTTAAAATGCACAAAATCATCTTGTATAGGTATGATGACCCTCGTAGTATGTATAAATCATAGTGGTATATGAGGAGGATTACTGTCTATTCTTACTGAACTAGTATAAAGAACTTAGGAAAAGAACTGTCATTGACTTACTTACAGAAGAACTCCTTGTCACATGAACACTTAACAGAATTTAAGACATTAAGATATACTTTGTTTTGGTTTTTACACGGCACAAAGAATTTTGTGTACCAGCAGCAAATTGCTGTGATTTGAGGAAAAAAGGATTTCCTTATTTTCAAATCAATTTTGTATTTAAATAGACTTCCTTAGTATCAAAAATAATAATAAAAATTAAATTTCCATACTATTTAATTACAACCTTTTGGTTAAAGTGCTTCAGAGAGCACAAGTGTTTTTTTTTGTTTGTTTGTTTTTAAAAAAAGGTCTTTAGCACCTGTATTTGAGAAACAAAGGGAAAATTACAATCTGAAATTGAATTACTTTATTCATATGGATATACTGAAAGTTGTCTACTGATTAATATTCCTATATGACCAAGTTTTTACATCCCCCTATCACAGTAAAATTAGATCAAATCAATATACTTTTACATGCTCTTCTTTCAAAGTTTAGGTATGAGTCTTAATATTTCTCATAGATATTCTCATTTTTATAGAATGCTTGTCAAAACACAATTCTTATTCTACGTCAGACAAAAATTACATTATATTACATCTCTGTTGCACCTGAACATTATTTTTTAAAGTCCTTTCCCTGATCCTAATTGAAAATTTTTGAGCTGATTCATGTTTTGAAAACAAGAACCAATACAGAAAATAGCACATTTAAGATTTCTGTTCCTGGGGTTTCCAATAACCATTTCCATACAGGATAAATCTCTCCTATGAATACACAATTAAATCACATGTCAGTGTGCTCTAATATGTGCTTCTGTGTCACAGTGAAACTGCAAACATACTTCCACATTCAAATTCCTTTGCTATGCTCCATTTTACAGAATCAGCTTAACAAAAATCTGTTTTCCATCTGTTTCATACATCAACAGCAACAATCATTTATTACTTGTCAACTTATTCCCTCTTATCTAGCTATGAAAGATAATCCACCATATATCAGATAAAACAGCTTAGTTTCCATAAGTCTGTCTTCTTATAGAGCCAGGCCCAGGGAGAAAGAAAGAAAGAGCTTAATATCTTGGCACATCTTTCCATTACCATCACGTAATTCAAGGTAGCATCTTTCATACAGGAGAAAACCATAAAATATATATCAAATTCCACTCAAGAAAAAAAAATATAATGTTATAATCAACCAAAAAGTACTTAAGATCTATGCAACTCTGTATGGGAACTGTTGAGTCACAGCCTGAAACACTGATTGAGCACCTGGGGAAAGGACCTGATCAGCCCTGGGAGCACAGGTGAAGGCAATTCAGCTGTGTGACTGGAAGGGTGGAGCCTGGCTGCACCTCTCTTAGACCTCATTTAAGGGCTGACTGCCACTGGGGCAGGGTTTCTTTCTAGAGATCCCTCCCTAGTGGAGTTTTACCTCCAGAAATCTGGACTCTTCTGCTATGCTACAGGTGAGTAAACTTGTTCCTTTCCTTTATAGCACCTTCCTGTTGTGCTGGTCTGTCTGCTATCACATCTCTGTTGTAATGCCTTTCCCATTGTATTGATCTGTCCAATTGCTACAGCCTCAAAATTTAAAACTAGTTGCTATTCTGTAATCCTAATCATATCTTCTCAATGTGTGACCTCTCAATGCTAGAAATATATTTAAAGGATAAACATACTACTATTCTCTCTGAGCAGCTATATCCTCTTCCCTCAAACAGGTTTTCAAGAAGTAGTTAAAGTTTTAAATCTTATTTCATTGTTAATTGTTATATAGATATTATTACTTACATCTCACAACCACATTATCATCTACATCAAAATTGTTTCTTCCTTCCTTCCAGATATATTTAGGAAGTAAGAATTATACTGTGGATTTATCTTTAAACCACAGCATTGCAAAGCCTAAGCATCGTGCTAATTTCTGGCTTTAAAGCAGAGCTTACTTTTCACTGAAAAGTAAGAGATTATAAGGGAAAATCAAAGTTTGCACAATTACTTCTGTAACATCAAATGAACATAGCTGAACTGGAACAAAGTAAATTTTCTAGTACACACAGTGCAGTACAGACAAAATATCAGAATCAAGAAGGCTTATGTTTTGTTTTTCTAAAATGAGAAAATGTTTGTTTGCCCTGGTTATCGTACTTAGTTTGCTTGTAACACTTTAATAACTATTACATTCACCTGAATTCTTTGTTTTAAATCCAAAATGAGAGACAAAAAACTTCTGAGGAATGTTTAACTCACTTCCAATGCACTCAAATTACTTTCCAGGTAATAAAGCATACAATCCTACTTCAGCAGTATGTTAGCTGCCCTCACTTCAATGAATACCCTCAATACTCCTAATAATTTGGATTTTCCATGGTACTAGGTGCTAGTACTGAGAATTTACTGGATAGCATTCTCGATTACTATATAAATACTGTATAAAAGGACTACTCTGTGATTAATGGGGATGTAAAAAGTAGACAAACACTCTTTGAAGTAATTATGAGAATAAGAGATTCTTAGAAAGACAAGTCAATAAATCACAATTCTCTTAAATGTTGTAATTAATCTTCTATTTGTAAAGAACAAACAGCCAAGGTACATTAGCAATACTACTCATTACTGGCTCTCCCACTGTATGTTTAATAACCCAACAGAGCAATTGGAAGTCTGAGGCGAAGCCAAATCATTTTAATTTTTTCTGTAGTAAAGAAAAACAAAGTAGCAGAATGAAGATATTTGCTTTGCACTTACCAGGAGCATAACAATCTGAACAAGCCATTTTATCTTCTGTCCTTGTTAAGTTTCATCCTTATTCTGAAATATATAAAGTGAGCAAAAGATATCACTATGAAATTCGAGTGTAAAGTAAACTAATAAAAAAGCAATATATACTTAAAATAATCTCATATATTGAGTAGTTTTTAGAGCTCTGTGACTCCTAAGGTTATCATTCTCTCACAGGCACTTCTGCATTTACATCTGTTTTGACAAATTTAAATACGTGCACTCAAGCATTAAATCCTTGCAAGGAAAGTACAAAACTAAGTTATTTGCCTTTAAAATCAGAACGAATAATTAAAGCTATGAACTTGGAAAGCCTTACTGCTCTGCAGTTTCCACATCAGTGTAGGAGTAAGGACAGACATTGGCATGGGTGAAAATACATCTTTACTCGAGCTAGCAGAATCCTAGCATGAGATTGTTTAATGATTATTTGAATGAAAGTAGTTTTATTTTTTACACACACTGTAGTTTCAACTTCAGTTAGCATCAGAAAATAAAATGGTTTCTAAGGCAAGCATGTGCATTTTTTTGTCCACAGAGCTATAACAAGCAGGAAGATTTAAATACCATAGAAGTGTGTTTAAATTTATGAAATACCTGTTTTCATGTCAATTTATAAAGGTATCAATAGCCACTTCAAGTACATTCATGGGAGAATTTATATTGCAACAAGTTGTCAGAAGTGTAACATCAGGATTTAATGAAAACATATAGGGACTTATAGTACTCTTTTACTGCAGTTGTTAACTACTCATGCTCAATGAGAGAGAGAAAAAGCACAAAACCAATAGTTTCTCAGTACTCCCTCCTCCCACCCAGGAACACAAGTAACTGCTCTAAACTGTTCTACAGCAACAGTACCAAACAGGGAATTGACATTAACAAGAAGCTCAAGATTTAGAGAAAAATTATTGAGAAGTAGAAAGATAGAAGGTATTTCTAAGGGTTCTTGCATCATTTATTAACAAATCAAAAACCCAGGGGAAAAAATATGCAACTGAATTCAAACCAAAACAAGGGGTCATGGCTTATCTTCACAGTAGATCTAGAGAGAAACTAAAGTTGCCAAAAAAGAAAAATACAGAAGAGTCACTTTATATCTACAGTACAAAGGAAAAATATCTGTACAAATTTGCAAGCAAATGCAGATTAGGTGGCTTGCTGAGTTGAGTTACAAATTGCAGCTTAGAATGTTTGCAGGAACTGGCAGGAAATCAGATCTGTCCTAAAGCAGGAGAAACAATCTGCCTTATATTTGAAATGCAAAAACTAGTCTTCTGGCTGCTCCATTGTGACGCCACCTTCTTTAATAATGGAAGCACTGCAGGTAACAATAGGAGAATGTCTTAAACAAGTGGCAATGTTGCCTGGGGACCCTGGGCCAGGCTTAAAGAAATGTCTAACATCATATCTCCAAGGGAAAATTGAAATACATGGCTTTGATTCCCCCTGTCAGGAGCTGAAGTTTTTGAGCCTGATGTAACACCCACAAGATTTAGTGGATGAGGAAACAGAAATCAAGGGCCTACCCTGACACCTACAATATCAGGTAAGGCACCAAAGGCCTTACCAAAAGCTACATCAAGATCCGTGGCTTTGGGAACAGGATTCTATGCAAGTCTTTCATGGTTCCCACAGTTCGAAGTCAATCTTCTGTATGTCTAGCTTGTCAGTTACAAATTCCAAACTTTTCAGGAAAGAGAAATAAATCAAACTGGTTTTTATAAAAAAAAAAAAATCCAACTAGCTGCTTTTATAACTCAAACTAGCTGTTTTTATAGCTACTTTTTTTCAATTCCTTCTTTCACTCTTCCCTCACCTTTCTGAGGTCTGATTTTTAAACTGGATTTTTGTTAGTTCTGTTTCACTGGGGGAGTTCACGACAAACACCACAAACACTCATGTGTTTGTGATAGGCAAAGTGACAAGCACCCACAACCATGGAGTGTAGAAATAATGTGGGGTTTTTGTTGGGTTTTTTTTTCAGGTAAATTTCTAATCAATTATCATTACCACTGAAGTACAAATATTTGCACTCCCTTGTGACTTTAAGGCTGAGTAGCTGCTGATAACTGACTGCAGTTTCTAAAGCAGTAAGAGCTTTTTAGAAGCATGAGAGTTCTTTAGAAAATATTACCATATTTTATACAAGATGTGTTCAAGGGATGTATAAAGCAGTGGGTAGGCCTGCAGGGGCATCTTTGTGACAAAATGCACCTTTAGTTTTAATGAAATTATATTATAAAAGAATTTCTAAAATTGAGTTCTTTTTTAGATGTGCTAACATAAATGGAACTCCTTAGAATCCATATTAGCACAGCTGGAAATAAACTCCCAACAGAAACTCCCTCTTCTTCTTGTGTGAACTTTAAGTTCAGTCTCAGGTCAGAAGCTAACTAGAATAGGGACACAAATGCTGCCAGAGGTATGAGTAAAGAAACCACTCTTCTGGTATGTAGCAAACAGAAGGGATTCCTGAAATAATTCATCTCAGATTATTTCTGAGATGCTTCTTCAGATTAACAGATTCTCAAGTAGAGTGCAAGGAGTGTGTGAAGGCAGAATTTCATTTTCTTTCTTTTAACCTTTATACAAGTAAACTAGGCCAGCCACACAAGCCAGAGGGCTCTGCAGTGTGGTACAAGATACAGGCACAGTAGAGACAAACATCTACATTATAGATAGGAATATCCTTCACACTTTCTCCAATTGAGGCAAGCTGCTATGGAAAAGAAACTGTTCAAAATGGACCTTTGGATTTCTGGCTGAAGACAACTTGAAGTAAAGCATCTAACAACTTTTTTGCACAAATAAATCCATGGCCTAAATTGTATTTGCTCCTATTTGTAATTCTTTAAGATTGTGCTAACCAGAAGGCTACAAAAACAGATTAACAAAGACAGCCTCTACAACATAAAAAACACTTAAACTCCAGGGACACCGTAGGCTGTCCCATATATTGAAATGATGATGATAACTGAATCTCATCACAGAAAGCAAAGCCAACTGCTTCTGTGGATTTAAGGAATGCCATCTTCTCCACAAAACCCTTCCACTGCAATGTACAAATACTTCCAAAAATTTTCATTATCCTAGTTAAGTAGGAACACAGAGCAGAAAGTACATAATTAAGAAAATGTCCAATCTCTCTTTTATTTGTTTCTTAATTATTAGGATGAATCAATCCCTCTTTCATGCTAGCTTTGACTCTCAGTTATATCTGGAAAGTAATTATGGCAGTAGATGTATCATGCTGTGGCACTAACACTTAGATACTATGTAACATTTGGGCAATCAAAAAAACCAGCAATCTCCTATGGAACTGGATTTGGATCCTCTACAAACAATAGCTAAACAGCAGCTTTACTGAACATACTGAAATAATTTTCAATGCTAATTTACACTCAAGTTCAAAGATTTCCAGAGATCTCCAGATATCCAGAATGCTTTTTTGGAGATCAATACATTATGGTAGTGATTCTATTGATTGAGAGCAAAGCCCTGACATTAAAGTCAGATGTGTTTATTGACTTTCTATTTTTTTTTAAAGGAGGACCTGGTATGAATGCTAATGGCTAATGACTAGAATTGTAGATTTGAAAGTCCATTTCACAAATTAAATTAAAGCAGGTTCTCTGTCCCTGGCAGCTAAGTTAAATAAGCATAATGCCACATCTGATCTAGTCTAATTCTTACTGTCTTTTAAAGGGTTTTGAAAGAAAGACTGTCATGAACTGTTTCAGAAGGAAAAAAATCTAAGTAGGAAAGCAGAAATAACAAAGGTTAGGTTGCAGAAGTATCTGAACAGATACTATGCAACAACAATCACAAATTCCAATTGCATATACAGCATTACACTCACACAGCTAACATCATTAGAAGGCTGAGGAATGGGAGCAGGTTTATTTTTCTAGAGTTCAAAAAATTGTGGCATTACTGAAATGCTGCAGTCTTCCACAGCAACATTTGTTTCATTTATTACCGGCAAATGTTATCTCCCATTTAATGATCTAATTTTCCTGTACTGGCACCACTGAATGTTTCTGTCTGTAATGGTAGACTGCAGAGATATTCACATCACTCGTGATTCGTGTAAAATATAAGAAACACCAAGTCCTTTGTTTTAAGTGCTAAAACTCCACACAAGCTAAGATATTCTTCCAAAACACTGCATATTCCTTAGCCTGCTGTCACAGAAAACATTTAAAAAAATATCTAGGAGTGTTTCCCTGTCAAATTGGGCCCTGTGTCCAGTCACATCTACATGTAGCATGTAATTATTACATACTCATTAGAGCTTCATGTCAGTGCTAACTCACCTAACAAACCTCAGACTGAACACAATGCCAGGCAGCTCTGCTCTTTCCCTGCAGTACTGACAGACATTAGAATTGTTGACCATGAAACTACTCTCTATCCTTGTCCTTTACTCCATCTCATGAAGTCTCAGATACTACTGCTCTCTTGTGTCTTCATATAGAAACAAACATCAGAAAGAATGATAATTTCCTGTAGCAATTATTTAAATCCCATGAATAACCTATAAAGGTGTCTAGCAAATCTATTTCACAGTTATCAAGCAGCCCTTTAAGAATCCACACATCCACTGTAAGGTACAGCAATTTATTTTTCAAACAACCTAAAAAATCAAACAGGAGATAAGTACTTCCCATTTTACTAGCAGCTTACTGTCAGCATTTACTACTAATAACGTATGGATTGAATTAACGATGTTCAAACAACTGAATAGAGATGTTAGCTTGAATAACCCATCACACTGAACTTCCAACAAATAAATAGAGGGGCATTACTGTCACAGCTTTTGCTTTAATATGCTTTCAGTGATTAAACTAGTTATGTGAAAGACCTGGAAATACTACATATATTACCTTATCTAAAAATTCACTGACAAGGCATTTCACTTGTTTGTGGCTTTTTGTTTTTTTGTGTGTGTGGTTTGTTTTCAATACTCTTAGACTGCCTACATGGCTCAGAGGGACAAGAACATAAAAATATTACTTTAAGTTCTG